TCACCTGTGTGTGATCCGCAAGGAGCCAACGCCTGAGTGTCACCACTGCGATGGCCAGACCGTGGACACGGCTCTCCACACGCTGGCAGAGTGCCCGGCGTGGGTTGAGCACAGGCGAAACCTCTTGGCGGCCATCCGAGTGGGAGTTCTCTCGCTCGATAGCCTGATTTCGACTATCGTGCGGAGTGAGAGTGCGTGGAACTCTGCCGTCTCCTTCTGCAAGCAAGTTATGCTCGCGAAGGAGACGGCGGAGCGGGACCGGGAGAGGTTTAGGACTCACCCGGCCCGCCAGGCCCGGGAACGGGCCAGGTACCGCAGGCGACTCAGGCGCCGGAGGTCGCAGAACGACCTCCGTCCACCATAAGCACAGGCCTGGGGGTGACAGGTGAGGCCATCTGTCACCCTAGCAGAAGCAGGCCGGGGTGGTGGCGTTGCGAAGCGCGCTTGCTTCCAGGGAGCAGAGGGAACATGGGGTTCCCACACGGGGGCGGGGTCGTCTACCTGTTGTTGTAGATGGCCCGAGGTATGTCGGGGCACCAGGGACTTCCTTTCTAGGGTATACCGGGTTCTCCGGCTATTAGTACCCGAGACGGCGTGCGGTTTTAGTCGGTTCGAGTCCGACATGCCACCGACAGGTGGTATCCGAGGGGATTTCCGCACGAAAAAAAAAAGGGGTGGAATTTGTGACTTCGATAACGTCACTCATTCGGTGAAATGCAACGATATAGTTACTTAGCAGCGGTTTTCTTTGTACCTGTGGTACCACTTGTTGGGACTAATCCCACCCACACGCCCACCACTGTAACTCCTGTACACCAGGATCCACAGCAGTGACCCACGAACACACCGAGTTATGACACTCGGGAAGTCCCAGGAAGAAATTAAACTGTCTTGGAACCCGCAACGAAATTAATCAGAAGAAAATTGGAGGAGTTGGAAATACAGTAAATCCACTTCCCTCCTTAGCAAAGCGGGAGACAAAATGAAGTAAAATGGGCATACACCCTTTTAAACAGGGAAGCACCACGGCCACAAAATATTACGGGTCCTACATGAGCTATATTTGATTTCTATAATATGTATGGCAGAATCGCCTAAACGCACGGAAATTCACCCTAGTTGATACAAGATCCCCATAGTATACCGCCCCAGATGTCACCTGCAAGCTATTCAGCATTATATTACGTTCATTATACCAAAGACTACATTCCCAGAGGATATGATGAGCAGATTGTTCATAATGAGAGTTAGGTGTTGAGCATTGACACAAAGGTGACTCCACTAATTTAAATGAATACAACTTGCTCTTAAAGTTACCATGACCCGTAAGAAATTGAGCGACACAGTGATCCACCTCAAGCCATGTCCTCGATAACCGTTCGCGAACTGATGGAAAAAATTGGTAAAGATGGCCCCCTTTGGATGATTCGTCCCAGCGTTGCTGCCATTCGTCTATGAGGTCATTATAGACATCGGACTGCTGTTGAAGCAATCTTGTAATTTTACCGCGATCCCGCGCGCCCAAGAAATCGCATTCCATGTTTTGTCTTGAATAGTACATGGCTGCACGTCTCTGCATCTCGAGATCGACCGGAAGCACACCCGCCAACACCGGCAAAGCCTCAGTGCTAACCGTCCTATATGCCTTGCACAAAAATATCAGTGCAAGTCGTTGGCCTTGTAACAGTTTGCGACGGACAGCGCCTACGGTCGCCCTATCGGCCCATACAGGTGCACCATAGCACATAGAACCTAAATAAGTAGCTCCGTATATGATCTTTAATGTATTAAATGATAGACCCCATGTCGCAGTTGATATCCTTGTCAATGCACAGAAATTCTTTTTAGACTTTTCATTAACTATTTGAATATGTTCGATAAATGAAAATTTTCTTTCTAAAACTAATCCTAGATAACACACTGTGGTTTTATTTTTTACAGTAACATTGTCAAATCTAATGCTCGGCGGTGATTTGAGGTTACCTTTTAAAAGTAGCTGGAAGGTTTTGTTGGGTGCAAAAGTTAAGCGATTACGTTCACCCCATTGAGATATCAAGTTCAAACATCTATTGGCTAATCTCTCAAGCCCCGCCCTAGTATCAGATTCCACCAGTAATAAGCCGTCATCAGCATACGCGTTCAGAGTACATCCGGATGGTATTGGTAATTATTATATGGTATTGGTATTGGTGGTACTACTTCGCGAAGCCAGTCCATACGCACCGAAGCATGGCCCTGCCACGTAATTTATTAAGTTACAATTTTTTACGTATCATTCAAACACACCCATAATTTTAGTCCCACTTACTTTAATCTGGGCAAGCATATTGCGTTCAACCGGGCACAAATGTTTTCAAATAAACATACTTATATGCTTATACATACTTATAGGTTTCTTATGTATACAGGTATTTATATTATTATAGATAAATCACACTAGGCACACAACAAAATCGGCGTGCCCATCACACAATATTTGTCCTGAGTGGGAATCGAACGTATAACCTCTGGTTTAACTAACTAGCTAACTGCTAGACTTACAAGCCCATCACATTTAAAATAACTTTTTTATACTACACAATTTTATGAATTCCTGAACAATATACCACAAATTCACGACGAATAGTTGATCCCTCTACGCAGGATAAGGCGGTTTGTGCTCTTGTACCCTCACTCACTTGGTAAAAAACAATGAAAGAATTGTTTAATACCAGTTTTATGTGTGGCCCAGTTATCACTCCGATCGAGCCGGCCCCATTTTGCCGGTCATGCCTGTCCTTTTTGTGCTCCTTATTTTTTCTCTAAATAAAGCTTCTGTTTTAATCAACTTGAGTATTTATTTGATTGTGCCTAATTATACGCAACTGTAGTCTGTAGGTAGGTATTTAATTCACTCCTAATGGAGGTACTTGTACAGGTACTTGTTACTCTTAGTAACTTAGTACTTAAATTGTATAGTACACATCTTTTATGTTCTAAAAGTATAATTAAATCTTAATCTTCCTATTAATTCAATGCTAAATAATAACGTTCGTATTTTGACTTACAACGGGGGACTTTGTAAATCATCCCTCTATTTCTCTAAAAATTACGCATAAGTTGTTTTTTTTCTTAAACGAGATACCCATACGAATCTTAGACAGTAGTTTTCATCTTGTCTCTGAAATATTTATACCGATACTATTTTCCTTAATTGTTTGGTCATTCCCCTTTACTAGAAATATTATTATAATAAACAGAGCGCGCCTCTATTTGGCCAGCATATGATTCATATTTAAGAGCACTTGAGGGTGCATAGGTACTACGAGATATATACTTATAATACCTATACAAGAACTTTATGCCTAACAAATTTATACTTAAGTGGATGCAATCATGTCTTCAATGTACAGTACTCTGTTTAGTAATAAAAGAAGCATTATTATCAATTATTTTTCTTCCTGTTCACAAAGATCACGTTAAATGCGGAATATTATTTTACGAGGTTTTCCGCAATAACGCAAGGATAGTTCCACTAGTGGGAGTATATAAAGACATCCTACACTAGTCACCAAGGCGTTAACAGTCTAAAGACTGTCAAGTATGGAGATCAACTACATCCTAATGAGTGCAAGGACGTAATCTGTCAAATAGAACACCGGAACATAGTGATAATGGCGGTTTTCAGGAAAACGGCAAAATGACACGGAATTACGTTAAGTATAAGATTATTAGTTCAGTAAATTTGAATAGAAAAGACGTATACATATTCTTAAATTAGTCAATCAAACTGTTGTTACTTGATAACAGATGTCACTACACAGTGCTTTAAATTTTGTTATACAAAACAGTTACTTTTTAATTCATTAAGGTTAACGCCAGCAAAACCATCAATCACATTTAAATGAAACCGATTCATAATTATTTATTATCATATAAAAAATCATATAAGTTAACTAATTGGTTGTTTTGAAACATTACTATTAATTTTCCTTATATTAATTCCGCTATTGGACAACAGATGGCATTACAATACTTAACTAGTATAATATTAATGTTTTGTAGACTTCAAAGCAATGCAAAATTTAAATATTGTTACATATTTTTGAAACTAGGTATTTCTTTACGAAATAGAGACTATTTAAGCCGTCGTAAATTATCCATCTTGAGTGTCAAATTATCTTGAATGCGAAGTAATTAAGAACACAGATGGTCCATAGGGCTAATTAAATTCGTCATGACACTTGTGAACTCTCATCAAGACAACAAAGTACGTATATAAAATTATGGACTTGTAATTTGATAATCTATTTTATTAGAATTTACTCGTACAACTAAGATAAACGTTTGTACATATTTCCTGTCTTGCTACTTGGAGGGACTTCAAACTTTCTAACGATTTATTTGCAAGTCGGACACTTCACCCATTTCTTTTCTTTAAAATAAGACTATATTAGACATATATAAGATATATACACATGAAACGGACACAAAGAACACCCATACTCAGAACAACAATTTGTGGATCACACAAAGTGTTATCCCATGTAGGCATCGTACCCACAAACACTACGCAGTAGGAAGCGGCGGAGTGACCGCTTAAACCACTACGCCATCCGTGCGATCAATTTGTTATCATTACTTACTGTTTAGATATTACAAAAGTATCGATATCACAGTAAATATCTTTGTCTTATAAAGAACGTCTAAGATACTAGATTTTAATTTCAAAAGCTGTATTGAAATTGGTAGATAAGCAATCTTTTAAAAAACAAGAGACGAAAATTTACCGATTACAATGAATGGGTGTTGTCAATGATCAATAATTAGGAAGCCTGTATCGATTTTCCTATTTCATTTCTGCAAAATGTATGTAAGTATTTTTTTTATTTTTTCAGATTCCAATGAAGAAACAACATCATTCTTCTAGATATGATGAAGGTTAAGGATGCGTTAACTAAAATGACAGTCATTAGAAGCTATGTGAGGACAATCTTGTGACAATTGTTGACCTTAGAAAAATGACGGAACCGGCTACGTCTTATGAAATGCAAGTACGCAACGATGAACAAAAGGATTGTAAAACGAAGCCAGGGCTGTCCGCTGGGAAAATATTTTACAAGCCAGGGGTCATTGAAGAGGAGACGGATGAAACAAGTGCTTTCGACAGCTCAGTGGTTGATACCCCTATGTTGGGCATGGGACTTGGTGGCAGTGGATATTTGAGACCGCCGCAAATATACCCCTCTAGCAGTCTTCACAGAATCCCTACTTATAGCAGTTCTATTGGACAGAGCACCGTATATCGACAGGATACTTGCAGGTAAAGTTATTTTTACATTAGACTGGAGATTCGAATTTAGAATGCTTTAGACTTCATTGGTTATTTTTCAGTCCAGTGCAAATAACGAAATGTGTTCTGAATATCTTTACGTATTTTTACGTACATAACATATATTTATTTATACTATACATAAAGCATATTTTTTACTACTGAACAGTAATCAATCAACGAGTGCCGCGTTTAATGGTTAACTTTTGCCAGTGCATCCTAATTCTCGTTCACTAGTAATTATAGATAAAAAGCTATATATATTTACTTTGCAAAAACCATACGCTTCGTAATGTAATGTGCTAAAACATTTATCGGAGTTTGCGGCGGGGTGGTGTGTCGGAATCGGACCGACTTAAACCACACGGTGTGCCACAGGCCTGTAATAGGAGGGATCCGGGGACTGCTATTATTAAGACATCCGGACCCCTCCTAGCGCCGCCCCGTCCATATAGGCGACATCCGGCACATGCGGACGTCACCTATATGGAGCCTCCACTGCCTGGTTCGCCGGCGACGAATTTGGTCCGAGTGGAGGTAGTCCTCCTAGGCCCTCTCCGCCACCTATTTCTGCGAGATGACGTCTTCGCAAAAGGAAGCGACCGCGGTGAAACATCTGTCCATGGCCATGGAGCGTATGACGGCCGGTAGCGAGAGACCCCCTCCGATAACTGCAGTTAGGACCCGGCGCTGCGGCGCCCAAGAAGGGCAAATTGTCAGGTTGTGCTGAGCCGAGTACTCACTGCAATCGCAGTAGTGACAGATGGGACTCAATTCTCTCCTAGCGACCGAGTGCAGGTACTTCCGCCTCCAAAGTCGCCTTCGTCGACTCCGTGCGGTAACCGCGTATGGCTCTAACCGCCAATATCAGAGAGACTCCTCTGGTCGCTAGGCACGCAGCCTCTTGAAAGTCCGCACCCCAGGCTTTAACTAGACTGTCACTGGCGAGGCGACCTCGAAGGGCCCAGTCGTAACCTATGTTCCACAGGAGTGGTCCGAGAACAGACCCCTGCGGAACACCGCTCGACATGGGCCCAGACAAAATTTAATCTAAATTAATGTTAAAATTTATTTCATTAGATGAGTGTAAATGCGCATCTAGCGAAATAAATCGCAAATACCATTTTTACTATCAGTGTAAAGTCATATTGTGAACGAATTGAGTTAGTAGAAATTTCGGTTATGACATCAATTCATAAGAATTTAGAGACTATCAGTAGGTATCGGAGATATATGTATCTACATGTAATATACATAGTAACAGACATTTATGATTTATAATCGTAAAAGTCTTACCATATATCTTTCCTTAGTAAAATCTTATTTTTAAACTCCCGTGATTAGTCTGCTACGAAATTTAAGGATTTGAATAATTAATCATTTAATTTAAACATTGAAACATTCACTCACGCCTATAATTAAGAAGGAATAAGTATACTCGTAATATGAAATAGTTCAATAAACCTCTAGGTTACCGAACTACGGGATAACTGGTAATTCTGTATCACGATATGGAAAGCCAGATCAGCATATACCCAACTTCCCAACATCACCAGGTATGCTCACTTATCCTCCCTCTCCCTCTGTGTTGGAGGGACATGACACCCGTTCCTCCAAATAACTTTGCCGCGATTTATGCACATTGAGATTAAAATATGGGAAAACCGGAATTGTACAAGAAAGACAACCAGGAAGGGAAGAATATTGCTTGTGGAAATGGTCAGGAAATATAAGCAAAGGTTAAATTCGTATACCTGTACCTAACTCAAATTGGTTATTGCAGTAAAATAAGGGCCCTCAACTATTCTCCTCCTACTACATACTTTACTATAACATATAATTAAATAGGGTTCTTAAGTTAATGTATTTCTAACTAAAACACACACAAAGACAAGCTCTATGTATGTATTTATATAGTTTTATAATTAGCGCTCAATTTAAAATATGTGCTAATACAATTTTTTTAAACATATTTAGTTTCACAATGCGTCTTTGGTTTGGTATTAATTCTAAAGGTGAAAGTTGTACTTCGTCATGAAAGTTTGATTAAACAGGGAACATCGATTGGCTTAGAGGATTTTTTGAGAGAACTAATATTTTGGGATCCTAAAACAAATATTAAATTTCATCTTCACTGCACATCAAAAATACCTCCATTATATTTACTGTCCGTTCACTGTAACGCCTTCACCAAAGAAAAAATAATAGCTTTATCACGTCCTTTTCCAAAAGCCAAGGGAAGAATATCCTAGGGGAACTCATATTTAACACGCAACCAAGAAGGCAACCGGCTTCTATGACTAATTTGAGGAACTTTATTGCAGTTGTTATCTGATCCGTTAACAATGACACAAGAAAATGTGCCTTGTAAATCAATCCTTGAGTTTCTGTTTCTGATATCTAATCACTAAAGATAAAGCATATTATCGACGTAGTAGAATAAGGTGTTCAGTATTTGCCCATATTTAGTACCTTTAAGTTTTCTTCGAATGTCTGTAATACTATGAAGCTGATTAAGTTATGGTGTAAAATGCGTCGTCGGCGTAAATAGTGTTGTGACTTAACTAATTTGAAAGATTTGTTCTGTTTTATTAGTGTTCTGGTTTGCTATACGTGAAAGATGGCAGGTATGTGTTTTGATCATCATAGACTTGTACCCACACCGGTGTATGAAAGAATAACAATACACCGGCCAATGGTCACACCTTCGTGTTCAGATTGTCATGCAGACGATGGTCACATTCTAACAACTCAGTAATATTGTATTATTCCGATGTAGATATTTTTTTCGAATAATAAAATTGTTATGTTTAAAAAAAATGTAGTGTAAAAATATTTCTGGTGCATCAAATGTGGTACTAATGTGTCAAAAAGATGTAACCACGAGTCAGTAGAACTTTAGAATATTTTAATATTGGATATATTTAATATTATTTATGTACTCGTAAGATACTCTTGTTTAACATAAACGTGCCCGTTCGGTATATTATTTAACGTAAATAATAAAATTCTAAACATTCACTTTGTTCATAACGTTACGGTTTTTGAAAGTAATATCCAATTAATAATGGGTAACAATAATTTAATTTTTATTAAAAGCGTTTTAAATGCAAATTGTGCCACTAAAGTGACTTTTTGGTTTGGTTACTAATAAATATTAGCTCGTGCCTGCGATTTCATACGCGTTTAATTTTATTTACTTTTATACAAGAATTTGTAAGAAATGGTCTATCAGTTTAGTTTTACACTAAAGCAAATTTGAATCTGTTTGCACTTTAAATTATAACAGTCGTTGTATCTATCGTCGTATGTATAAAAATGAAACTTTGTTTTGTGTACGCTTCAAACAATGAAAAACCGATTAAGCTTAAAATTGGACACGCTATCACACGCTTCAAGGATTGTTTTGATCTATTTTTCAAGTGCTAGGTAAGTGCTAAGTTTCAATGTACTGTAGCAAAGCGCGTAGCAGGGTACGTCTAGTTTAATATAAAAAAGTAGTCCGTAACAACATTTCCTCCTAATCGTTTATTATTTTACATGTTTTGCGCGAAACCGTGTGGTGACGGATTAAGAATACAGAGTGTCGCCACCCCTATTCATCCCGTGGGTGTCGTAAGAGCCGACTAAGGGAGCAAACTACGCAGGACAACAACACTGCAGAGAGAAGGAAATCTTGACACAAACCCTTTTTTTTTTTTTTTACGTGTGTAAATCCCCTCGGACCGTCACCCCACCGGGGTTTGCGGCGGGGTGGTGTGTCGGACTCGGACCGACTAAAACCACACGGTGTGCCACTCTGCGCCTGTAATAGAAGGGATCCGGAAACAGCTGTTATTAAGACATCCGGACCCCTCCTAGCGCCGGCCCGCTCCTGTTGCGGGCTCCGTCTCAAAATTTTTTTTCCTCTCTTTAGGCGACGTCCGGCACACGCGGACGCCGCCCCCTCGAGGCTGGCCAAACTCTGGTGGAGGGGAAACCCACCCCGTCCACTCGCGGCCACACGACGACCAGATTTGGAGTAAGCTGTCGGAAGTGCTCGTCGAAGAGCCACCTCCCGTCGAGGATCAGGCCCAGATATTTCATCTGGGCCCGAACCGGTACGAGGACCGAGTTGACCACGATTGAGGCGCCAGGGGGGCCCATGAAATAAGAGAGCCTCCGTCTTATCTAGGGCCACCCGTAAGCCCAGCGCCTCAATGCGCCCGACCACCAGGGAGACTCCTCTTGTGGCCAGGCGCGCCGCCTCTTGGAAGTTCGCCCCCCTGGCTGTCACCAGAGTATCATCTGCGTAATAAATTACACCCAGCCCGGGGGGGAAATCGGCTCGAAGGGCCCAGTCGTACCCTATGTTCCATAAGAGGGGTCCAAGAACAGACCCCTGTGGAACACCGCACGACATGGGCCGACACTTCGAATTACCATCTCGGTTATGGTACACGACGGTACGCCCCTCTAAATAGTATGCCACTAGCCGCCTCAGGTACTTTGGCACCCCATGATAGTGGAGTGCTTCCCTGATGCAGCTGAATGGCAGACTATTGAATGCGTTGGCGATGTCCAATGACACCGCCAACAGCACGCCGCCACAGCTCACGGCCTCTTCAGTCACGGCCCTCAGGCGCAAAACAGCGTCGACTGTCGAACGCCCCGCCCGAAAACCAAATTGGGCGTCCGACAGATCGGGGCCCACCTCGTAAAGGTGCCGGACGATGCGGGCAGAGAGAACCCTCTCAAACAATTTACCCGCCTCGTCCAGCAGCACGATGGGCCTGTAGGCCGCGACCGAATCGGCAGGCCGTCCCGGCTTCCTTAATAGGACCAGCTTCCCGCTCTTCCAGCACTCAGGGAAACGTCCCGACGCCAAGCTAGCGTCGAACACCTCCCCGAGGCAGTCTGCCATGTGGTTGAGGGCTAGGGCCAGCACTCGGGCCGGTACCCCGTCTGGCCCAGGGGCGGTGTTCTTGGAACGGATCCGTAGAACAGCCGCCCCTACCTCCGTATCCCGGACGGGCGGAACATCATCCTCCTCGTGCTCCCTGTCGTCTCCTGCCAAGGAGGCCATCGCCGGGGGAGTGTGTTCCGCTCGTTGCGGGAAAAGGCCCTCAAGCACTTCTCGCAGAAAGACCCACACAAACCCTATACCAACCTGTCTGGCCAACGTGAGATAGTAGGCCAAAACCTCCTTTCTAAGGAGAGGCCTATGTCCAGCAGTGGACTAGTAACGGCTGTTGATGTGATGTTTTGCTCTTTTTTGTTAGCAATTTTTGTCCAAAACTGCAAATTGGTAAGTATCAAAGACGCAAATCAAACAGGGCAAAAACTACATGAGTCTAGAATCATATATGTAAACATGTCATGATATTGAAAGTCTATACAATAATAGTTTAATTGGGACTGTACAGATAATTTTAATAACATAGTTTTTACACTAATAAAATTATAAAGGCGAAAGTTTGTATTTGTTTTTATGTTTATTGTTACTCATTCGTATACGGCTGGATCAATTTTGATATAAAATTCGTATGGAGGTAGCTGATGTAAGCTACTTTTTATCCCGGCAAAATGTATTTAGTCTTCCTGTGGGATAAGCAAGGAAGCCGCGTTGCACAGCTAGCATCATTTACAAGAGTATTTCCTTATTCTCTCAGAAGAGTGGAATCTGAATGCTATCTGAATGTGTAGATGTGACGCTCTTATCATGCGTTTACACATTTATGTAAATGTTAGACGGGCCTCGCGTTATCATTAGTGATTTGACAGTTGAAAGTAGGAGACTCCTTCCGTCATCAAATCATCACATTTCGTTTGAGGCCGCTGCTATCCTTTTCATATTATGAAAGTGTGTACTATTATCGACTTCTTTCGTGGACAAATGTACTTCAAATAATAATGTATAAATATTGCGTGTAACAATCATCGTTCTGGTGGTATCAATAAATATATGTAGATCAATTCTTGCCTTGCATCAGTCGGTAGGTGGAAGACTTCAATAATAGGTTTACTATGCCGACTGGAAATATAATAATAATAGTTTTATAACTTCAAGTATTTGGCTGATTTATAAAAATATAGAAGATTCTAGAAGGCATTAAAAGAACTTAATCCTCAATTAAATAAGACGACGATATGAAAGAAGTAGCGATTGTTCTAACGACAAGGGCTTGGCCCTTAAATTAAGACATAGGTTAAAAGAAAATATTATAGGCAAATGTTGTTATATTTATCAAAATTTGAGAACCGTCAATTCGCAAGTCACTCAAATTCATGAAATGCATAACCATAGGACATACAGAGAGTATCTTATTTTATATTTAAAAATGAAACTTAGCTAAATCGATTAATCGCCCCGAAAACCCTCTGCATACTAAATTTTATGAAAATCGTTGAAGCTATTTCCGAGATTCAGATTATATATATATATATATATATATACATATATGTATACATTTATAGAAGAATTGCTCGTTTAAAGGTATTAGATTGACATTGGATATATGGAAAGCATGGTCATAATTAAATTAGAACGTTACATACTTATTATGGAACTTTCACATCAACCGATGAATCTTACACATGTTATTGTACTAAACGTATTGATTCAGAATGTTTGCTATTATACTCCGATGTAACTTTTAAAATAAATTCTCGTAAAAATGATATAGATACGTACAGTAATATTGCAATAATATACATATAATACGTCTTAGGCTTCATAAACGAAAGGAAGGTTCAGTGCATTTTTATTAAAAAAGCCGATCGCCCTTATGGACTTCTAAATTAACATGGTAACGGTAACTTATATTTTTCTATTTCATGTGGTAATTTACTTTCATTATTTGGATTGGTGATTAAAAGTTTGAATCACTATTTGATATCACCAGTTAGTGAGTTACAATATTTGGTAAAATGTATTACAGCACTAAAGTAATAAACTAAAATTTTGTTACCGAATAGGAAAACTAAAAATGAAGGAAATAATAATTTAATCAAAGGATATTTAAAAAACACAAGAGATCAACAATAAGTAATATAGAAGTGTGAGCTTCTATATTACTTATTGCCAATCTCTAAGTCAATTCTATTAAGTATTTGCATCCACTTAATACCAAGTATTTTACTCTGTAATAGAATCTACTATTAAGTAATATTCCTTGATTTAAAGACTGCATTGCGGGATTTTTAATTTTCATATGTCACGTTTTCCAAGTAAATCAAGATTGGTAAATGATGAACTAACTAATCTTTCAAAACAAAGTCTTTTTTAACTATCCAGGTTAAGTAACAAATTCTTGAAAACACCGATTCCTCAATTGTAAAAATATTGAAAGAGATTAGGTATAAAATGACGTCATCAATGCTACATTTAGAACCTAATAAAAGATTAAACAATGATATGAAGTTAAAATCTATATACATATTTGTTCATGTTTTGATCTGTACCCATATTCGCTGATTAGGGATTAAAGACACATAACGTTAAAAGAAAAAAAGTCGACACTGTCTTTTATAAATTACTCATGTAAGTTGGGTTATTTATTAGAATTTTAATTCTATGCATATTTAATTCAATCCAATCTGTGGAACGGGTTATCGCCTGTGGTATTTCCGGACCTATACGACCTTC